AACAACGACGATTTTTGAAGTATGGCTTAGTTTTTTTTTAATTTTTCTCATTCATTTTATCACTATCTTTCAAATTATTCCTCCACTAATTGATTCATTCTATTCATTCGTTAAATCATTCAATTCATCATTTATTCGTTCGTTCCTTTGTTCCTTGATTTACTACTAAGCTAATAAAAATATCTTTTTACAGAATGATGAGAGGTGGGCTGTGGTGGGCGTCAGCATGTTTCAGATGGTGGTCTCATGATGATCGTTCCGATGACAATTTGAAGATAATATTAAAAGAAATTTGTTCTTGTCCCATTGTTTTTGTCCCATCGTACCATTGAAAGTACTCGAATTTGTCATCTCAATCAATCAATTAGCTTATAAAGCGCTATTTCTGCGATGTTTAACAGCGCTCCTCAATGAATTTTGAAAACAGATGGTTCTTGAGATCCGCTCTGAACTTCGCAAGGGATGGAGAAGTAGTCAGAGAAGTAGGTAGAAAAGTTGCCTTTTTTTCCAATGGCTTGTTTTTTACTTTAAAGAATTATTTTTTTTAATTTAATGTTTTTCAGTATCCGGTCAAATTCATTCCATCGATGCGTGTCAGATGATGGTCGGTGCAATGGAGGTTCGTCCGTAGTGAGTGAAGAAGTTTTTGGAGAGTACACGCCCGCACATTTACACACACACATCAATAAAACACACACATACACAACATCCATTCATTCGGTGTCGTTATGTTTTTCTTCAACTTTCTATTTTCTTTACCAGACTTAATTTAATTCGTAGGTAAGTTAGGGATTGAGATGAGTTGAACAATCGTAGGTAGGCTAGGGCTTAACATTAGTTAAAAAGTTTCAAGTAAAATAAAAACGCTGAAATATGTAAAATAAAATACCTAAAACATGTAAAATTCCAAAAACGTAGAAAAACATATTTGTAGGTAGGTGAGTTGAGTTAATGATTATAAGTAAGCTAGGGCCCTGAGAGTAATTTAATTGTAGGTAGGTGACTGACTACTATTCTTGCGACTTTTTACTAGTTTTTTGTGATGTGTTTGTTTTCGCTTCACAGCCCCACACCAACAAAACAAACTACATTTTATTCTCGTCGTCGCCTTAAATTTTACCTTTTTGAACAATCTTTTTAATAATGTCTATTTATTTATTTAATTATTTAT